CGGGTCTGATGAACAAGCAGACATAGTAAAACTACACTGTTTCCATATCCTGAGTGGCAGTTGCTCATACCTGTCTCCAACTCAACACTGAAACTTGAGGAAATGTATATCAAACAACAGCTCACATACTGAGGAGAAATCCCGCTGAATTTATGTCTTGAAAGTAGGGGTGTGGCAAAAGAGGACTGGTGAAACAGAGGGCCAGATGGCAACGCAGGTCGATCAGAAGTAATACACTGTTTCCATATCCTGAGTGGCAGTTGCTCATACCTGTCTCCAACTCAACACTGAAACTTGAGGAAATGTATATCAAACAACAGCTCACATACTGAGGAGAAATCTCGCTGAATTTATGTCTTGAAAGTAGGGGTGTGGCAAAAGAGGACTGGTGAAACAGAGGGCCAGATGGCAACGCAGGTCGATCAGAAGCAAAAATGCTTATATCTAAATATTCCTTTTTGTACTGGAAAATGAGTGGTATATATTTTGAGGCAACTCTCAGAATGTATGAGCAAAAAGGTAACAAGTTGCAGTTATTTTTTACTGTCTGGAGTTCTTCCACCCACAGATTACTAGTAATGGTTTCTGGTTAGGAGCTATACTATAAATGAATGTTATGTATGTCCTTGCTTATATACACATATATAATAATATTATATTGCATCTGAAGTTTTGGAATCTTTTCCTTACTTCCTTTTGTTGTTGGGTCAGTCATTGATTGTTTTCTTAAAGCCAGTGAGCAATATTTAAGATGTGCTGCTTCGCCACTCTAATTTCGTATCTATACCCTGCATATCAAAATGAAAAATCAGAGATTCAGAAATTGTTTTTCCTACAATTATCAACATTTTCAGGGCTAGTTAGTGCTGGTAGGTGTGAAAGTATATTGCTGTATTCATGTAGTTGGAGACACACCTATGCAGCTGATTTTTAACCACTGTAGGCAAGGCAGTTGGAATGGGATTTAAGATGAGGCACACAGTTTTTTCCAATGTTTGAATGAAAACCTGAAGCATTTGACAGGTGTATGATTGAGCTGCTGATCAACTACCTGATGAGGCTAGTTTGTTGGGGTTTTTTTCCCCTCATTTTTGTTTTCCTGCTTCTATAAATCTCTAGCTGCAGCTTTGTATTGCTTATGTTTACAAAGTTGAGGTTACATCCGTTTAAGGGAGAGATATTACCTCTTATTTAAAAGGAAGAAGTCCCATTAAAATGTACTGAACTTCAAGACAGAGTTTACAATTGCAAATCAAATATTAAATCCTGATCCCCCAGGGCTTAACTGTACCAGTGGTGAATTGAAACCCAGAGTGTGTATGCTAAAGTAAAAGGGCAAGGCAGGGCAGGGCAGGGCAGGCCTGTGGCACTTCTAAAGCTTTGTAACACGAGTCATGACAACAATTATCAGGAAGTCCATTTTCTAGGCTTCAGTATTTTAGACTACTGAAGGGCTGTCTATGTTAGGAAAAGATTAGGTTAGGAACACACAACTCGGCGGCTTCCTTTCATGCAGTCCTGAAAGGCAGTTAGTTACCTGCATTAGTAGGATAAACAGTTTTTCATTGCTGTTACGGAAACAGTGATTAAAATGGTCTCAGCTGCCTTTGCTGTAATAATGGTGATGCTGGAAATGTTTTTCTCACATCTAAATTTTCATTTTAGGCCACTCACAGCAATATTTACTATAGAAATGGTCACCAATGAACTTTGTCTGAAGAAGGTAATTTTTCCTGTTAAATAGAGACCTTTGAGCTTCTATAGGAAATGTTTTGACGACTAGTTGATGCTTGACTCAAATACATAGATTTGAGAGTCCTGCCGAAACCAGGACATTGACACGGTGAGGGAAATAGGCAGATAGGTGCTGGATATGTGCAGGTATACCAAATGACTTTCTCTGGACATGATTTACCTCCAGCGTTTTTCTACTGAAAAAGCAGATCAGTGTAAAATGCAAGACAGAGTAACAGCTCAGAAGTTTTAAAACCTGTGGGAATGTACCAGTATCGCGCTCAGCACATCATTTCTAAAGATGTTATGATGTAGTGAACAGATGACTAAGGAAGGACAGTAAAACACAAGCAAAATGAAGTTCTTCAAAGGAAGGCATATACCAGCTGACTCTTTCTATTTTTGAGTTGTTAAATGTTTTTAGTAGCACTGAAGATCAAAAAACAAATTGTTCATTTATGGCATAGCCCATTCTAACCAAAACTCTAGAGAGTCTGAAAATATTACAACCTACTTATAAAGTCCCATAGGCAAGTTTTTTTGTTTTTAATAAATAAAGTCCCATAGAAACAGAACATATTTACAATTAGATCAAAATTCTGAATATAATTCACAAGAGAAAATGCTATTTTTTGAGAAAATGTTTTCATATCCTCATAACAGTCATTTGTTCTAAATTAGTACATAGCAATTGTCCATTAAATGAACATTTTTCCCTTAAGACCTATTCTTGTAGAAAAGTATTTTAGGCAAAACTTCCTAACCATGATGTAACCGTTTAGAATCAGAACATTTCTGTGATTAGTAATTCACATAAAAATTAACATTTTCCATGGCTTGAGGAAAACATGATGAATAACTGTCAAAATGTAAGAGAAGACAGGATGTAGGGAGAACAATATATTTTATTAGAGCAGCTTATACAGTTGAAAGAAAAGTATAGGCTTTTGGGCATTCAGTCCCTTCATCCTAATAAAGGATAACACCTGTTCCTGCAAAACTATCTTCTCTTTTATCCTTAGACCATTATGACTACCATTACGCGACCACTCTCAAAATATATGGATTGTATACGTCTGTATTGGACTGAATGGCTTAAACACCATCACTGCTAAACCGCTACTTTCAAAAATATTACCACTTGCAATAAAACAGAACTAAGCTCTGAGTTAATGTGCTTCTTGGTTACACAGAGGTTTTTCCTGTAACAAAGTAATGAACTTAATTTCATTGTCAGTGCATCTCTGCCACTGTCCTTTTCAAATATTTTTTAGTGTTACTTACATAAGTACATGCCCTAGAAGTCTTCTTTATTTAAAACTAATTTTGAACTCTCATTAATAGCGAAGCCAATGTAAAATTGGATTGTATAAGAAATGTAGGCTCAGATTAACAGTTTTTGCTGTGTGTTACTATTATAGGAATTCAGTGTTGGAGCTGTGGTCCGTCTCAGTGCCAGTTAATCTTTGATATGTCCTCCTACAGGAGGGGATGAACTCTGCAATTAAATAGAGGTTCTCCCACTAAGTGATAGATGGCAAAATTTCAAATGGCTAGCGTCCAGTGGAAAACAACTTAAAACAAGAAGAGAGAGAATATTTTCTTTTGAGTTGGAACACCCACAAATTAGTGTGCGTGTAATTCCTCTCAGAATCCGATGCTCAGCTAGCACAATGTGCCTATCTTGAAATGTGCAGGAAACATGCAATCTTGAGCATTAACATGCAATATTCCATTTGCTTTAGGGCAATCATTTCTAAGTTACCTGAAATGATCTCATTGCGAACTTAGTGAAGATCAAAGCTGTTCACTTTAGCCTCATACTGACTTCATCTCAGTGCAATTTCATCTGTGGGTTTTAAACCTCGAGGCTGAATGATCCAATTCTCCAAACTTCCTGGTGGGCATAATGCTTACTACTGACCATAGGCCCAGAGGTTACCTGAAATAAGTAGTAGGAAACATTTTCAGGTGTAGAAGGCATGAGCTTAAGGATTTATTTCCGTATTTGCCTCTGTCAGCCTCTTTATTGCATAATTTGCACCAACTTAGATTTTCAAGGTCTACATTGGGAGTAAGGCCAATTTATACTCCCTGAAAATCCAGTCTACTCACATAAACACTTACATTACCTCTTGGTCCACTTATATATCACCACTGAACTTGTCTCACTAAGTTTAAGGCACACTTTTTGCTACATAAATAAAATGTGGACATGGTGAGGAAACTAAGGATATTCAATCGAGGACTGCCCCTTACTTCAATATATATGTTACAATTAGTGGCTTTTTTTTCCAACATTCCCTCTTCGGGCCCACCAGTGTGGATCACACCTGCTTGACTTTGTCAGGGGTCACATTCACAAACAGTAAATGTGGACAGGCTAAATGTGAATCTAAGGGAATCTCACAGCAGTACTGAGAATACCAAATGAAGCTAGTGTAAGTAAATTTACCTTCTGTTAAATTTATTCATTCTCCTATGCTTTGCTCCCAGTGGAAATCTTAGGTGACATCATAGGGCAACGTATATAAGAAAATTAACAATCTTAACAGCAGTGAACATCTCAAAGGATTCTTGTTCCCAGTGATAAACAATGATAGCTCAAGCCAAACTAACATAGTAGGGTTTCCATTACAGGTTTATGTTTTATAGAATGAATTCAAACCTTGCTTTTGTTTAGGAGTCGTCACGCTACTCCAATTTTCCATGACCTTTTTGACTGAATATGTTGTTCAATGATAGTTCATCAAATAATTTGGGAAGGTCTCAGGCCAAGTGGTTTGCACAAACCTATTCTGACTACAGACTCAACAGTGACTGAAAGCTGCATTAGCACTAGCTGCTGTGGCACAAGCCTTGGAGGCCATGGGGGGGGGCAGCTGCATGGCGGCTCCACGCAGGCTGCTGCTCCACCTGCCTCGGACTTGCATGAGCAGAGTAATTGAAAAGACTCCGCTTCCTCAGAGTGATGAGCAGTACATATTCCTTAATTAATTCTTGAAATGGCATCTAGTTTTTGGGTTTGCCCACAAATGATGGGCCTAATTCTTACTTACACTAAGATCTCTTTACAGAGCTCTATTAGTGTAAAATTATATTCTGGTAGGCACAAATATTGTCAGACCTGACATTTCTAACTTTTGCCTTTTAAGCTCTCATAGGAAGTTACACTAATCTGTGAATCAATTTTATTGTTATTTTGCTGCTGCCTTGGGAGCACAAAATCAAACATAATACTTAAAACGTTTCCCTAGAAATGTTTAAGGAGAAAGATTTTTAAGTTGAAAATTTAACTGCATGTTCAACCAACTTCAGTGAAGCATCAATCATACTGCACAAGCAATTTTAAGAAATAAGATAGTTTAAAAAATTAATTCTGAAAATACTGCCAACAATTTCATGATATAGATATTTTTAATATTAAAAGTAAATTGTAAATGTGTCTTTATAAACAATATGCATAAAATAGATCTACTATACTAAGCTCTCTCTTTTTAAATGCTGTTTCACAGTAATTTCTTAGGTATGCGAAGTTTTCCCTCAAAGAAATAGTGCAATCTGAAGAACATACATTACGTCAGCGGATTAGAACTACTATGGTCATTAATATAAGTCTTTATAGATTTCTTGTAGGAGTGGATGAAGACTCATATCTGTCTCCGTTTTCTTTATTACTTGCAACAGCTGCACATGTTCTGTTACAATCTGTCTGAGGTCCGTCATTTTCTGAAGCAACTTTGCAAACAGCTGTGATGATTCTGGATGATTCAGCTTTAGCTGGAGCTCCAAAGCTTGCAACAGATTGTCTTGTATATCTTCAATGGGCTTCACATTTAACAAACCTGGGCGATCTAGGAAAAAAAATTGGGAGTTGTAAGTTTATGAAGAATATGGAAACATTGATCTCATGTATTAATTTCTTAAAGATTTCTTCGTATATTAAGCATTTACATATGGCACTTCCTGAGAACTGTTGGACAATTTCTTAATGTATTTATTTGTAAGATTTTACTAGAATTCGCTCAAGAAGTTTTGGAACTAGTATTAGAAACAGTTCAAGCATTTGTGTGGTGCAGATACAGAGACAGGTTTATACAATATGACAATGCATTTTCCACAGTAAACTGGGACTGTTTATGGAAAGGAAGAGTGAGATATAGTTGGGCGATAAACAGTCTGTATCAGGTAATTCACTTTTGGAAAATCAACATATACTCAGATGGATTTGCATGTAACTGCTACCATTAAAAATGTTTCCTGCTAAGGTGGATGCTATCATTCCTAACCTATTAAAAAAAAAATAAAAAGGCATAAATTCAACTTCTGCAGTCATACTAACCTGGGAGATTTAAAAATCACAGGTTCAGTTCTTCTCCACACCCAAGTTCCAGTTGCTATTAAGAAGTCTCATGATAGCTTTTAGCATCAGCTCATCAGCTTAGCCACAGATGCTTATGGCAGTGGAGGACTGATAGATGTGGCTTGTACAGAAAATGCCTTTTCTGGGCTCATGTCAACAGAGAGTTCTCCTCCATATGGAGGAATCTGGGATGGATGTTTACAACCAAAGTCAGCTACTTGCACTGCCACAGCTGCGAGAGTCCAGGATTATCTTTGGCATATCTTATTCTTCAGCGAGAAGCAAAATCTTTCTTTTTTAACTATTATTATCTTTCATGATATTCTGTTCTGTTATTTCTGTCTGTCCCCAAATACCTTCTTAAGTGGTTGCAATTATTATTTAACACAATTTGTAACATTTGTTTTCTAACTTGAGGTAATAGATTATTTGATTCTACAGCCATGAAAGTTAATAAAGTTGCTTAAAATTATTAAATTATTAATTACTAAATCCTCACATATGACAATGACCACCAGTAATTTGTTACTGCTAAACTACTTTATACTGGGTAACGCATCCTGATTATCGGCACACTCCATGAATAAACAGTCAATAATTTAAATAACATTTGCTGTGTAGATATGAAATTAATTTCATAGGTTGATCAATAAAGAGCAGTGTCTATAGCTAGCATTGAATTACTTCCCTAAGGCAGTATTTCCATTTCAGAAAGGACAAGAGGTTGATCTATATTAAAAATTTAAAAAATAGGCTGTTATTTCCTATGATCTTAGTAACCTTTCTGTGCATCCAGTTCTACTAACTCAGCTTGGCTTTGTTGTATACTAGGAAAAGAGGCTGAGAGAAAACAAAGCTCTTTATAAATACATTGGGGTTTTACTTCACGGAGAAAAAATTGCAGTGTAAACTAAAAGGCAAAGTTGGCATGAAAACAAATGAGTATACACAAGCCATGAATACATGTAGGTCACTGATTAGGAAAGGACAGTTAACTCTCAAAGAGGTGAGGTTTGGGGATAGTTTTTCAGAAATCGGAATAACGGCAAGTTTGAATATCGAGCTTGATATTTGTTTGACGGTGGTTTTATGAAGTGACTGCTTTCAGTTGTAGGTGACTGGACTCAGTGACCCATTTGGCCACTCTTTCCATTTGGTATTTCATGCTAATAAGCTGTGCTTGTCTTGCAGAGATCACTTATTTATACCATTCAACTGATAATACCATAAAATATAGTTCAGAAAGTCTGTAAGTAAATATCCGCAAGCAGAAAATTGTCTCCAGACAAACAGCTCCTTTTTATCAATTTCCTTTGGCAATATTATCAAGTAATTTTTTAAAGATACTTAGAGAATTTTTGATAAATTTTAGATATTTGTTTTTAGATTACCTAAATGCATTGCATGTGCTGCGAAATCTAGTTGCCTTCTTTATATCTTTCAGGAACTTCCCACCTTTCGGTACTTCAAAGCTGTTAATAATTTTGGCTTTGGGTTGCGATAGCTTTAAATTTTACTTCTGTGTTGCAGATGAACTCTGAACTAGCTGGGTATGACTCAGTGTACAGTGATATAAAAAATCAAAAAGCACAAAGACTGTGGCCTTGATTTCCTCTGAGATTAATCTCCATTTGCCCCCTGCTTCTTTTATGGTGGGAATTTTTAGGGTGTGAGTTTTTCAGAAGTGAAACCCAATTCAAACATTGTGCTCCCCAGCGCAACTTTAGAGCCCAGGAGGCAAACCCAGGAGATCAGGACTGAGACTGGAACTTACCAAGGAGCCCCCCAAATTCGGGTGCCCGAGGTCAGTTGAAGTTCAGTGAGACTTAAGCGCCTAAAATCCTTAAGCTCTTTTGAAAAACCTAGTCTAATGGTTTTATAATGACCCAGTGGAACTAGAGTCAGAAAAGATGACTGTGACAAACGCCTAGGAGATCATCAGATGTTATTTTTAAATAAGCCAATTCAAGAGGAAGGAAAATTCCCATTGAAGGCAAGAGAGATTTTTCATGAATGAGAACTTCAGGATATGGACATTATTTTTTGGGTGTTGACAGTTTGCTATGCTTTCTCAGTAAAAATTTCTTACAGAGGAAAATGCTGTTTCTGTTCCAAGATACATATCTAAATCAGAAAAAAAGGAAATAGGACGCAAAAGCTTTAACATACAGGTATTATGGGATATTTCAAGTTGTTAAGATGCTCTTAAATAAATATGCTCCAGACTCATTGGGTTACTGTAGCAAAAGGTGTATTTTGCGCAGTAAGGAGCTCCAGATAGATGTGGCTTGTAGAAAAAAATACAAAGGAAATGATTAACAGTAAGCCTTGAGAAAAATTTAGATAGAGAATAGGAAGAAACAGAAATGGGCATAAACTAGATGTAATACCGTGGTGGAGGGCTTTGAAGAGGCTAAGTAAGACAGAATGCTGTTTGAAAGCTCACAGAGAAAACTGCAAAGGGAACTGAGGAGGGAAGTGAAAGACAAAACCAAATGAGTTCTAGCAGGACATTCTTATGATACAATGAAATTAGGTTACAGAAGGCCAAAGGAAAGAGAGTTTAAATGATTAAGGTGAGAGATAACTAAAAGTGAATTGGCCACCACTTTTAAACCTCTCTGATACAGAAGACTGTTTCCTGAAGTTTAGGTTTTTTTGTTATGTGCTATTTGTGACCTGCCTTTTATCCATTCAGACTATGCCAAGAGAGTACCACATTTCTCTTTTTATGATTACTTTTCTTTATTCAGTTTTTGTTTAGGTTTTCATTCATTGTCATGCGGCTGTTTCATTTGGTTTGAAAATTCTGCAGAAAGCTGTTCTAAGCAAGAAAATGTTCACAGTGACTGGGAAAAGCAAATAGCTCCTTAGTTTTGAGTGTCAACAGTATAACTTTGTGTAACTTGATGTTCTATACTACCTCAGGGAAAAATATTTTGTTTGTTTATTTACTTACAGTTTTGGATGCTTCTTTCAAGTTCCTAACAATAATTACAATTTTTTTCTGTTCCTCACATATGCAATTGCCATCTGCATGCCTTCACTCATACCTTTATATTTTAATATCTTTCATTAAGTGCATTTTGCTTTTAAATACACATCCTAAAATCTTCATTTGATAAAACAGGCAAAGATATGGCTGACTGAACAACTGTGCTACTTCTTTTGCTGAGGCAGATATGACTCAGCAGTTTGAGGTTTTTCTTCTGAGACTGTCACATGTATTGCAGTCACCAGGATTTTGGTTCAAAGCCCACAGTGATTATCCGCAGTTCTTGGTCTGGTTAGGAAGCATTTCTTCGTTCTAACAGATTTGCTAGAGCAGGATTTCTGTAGCAGTCAAATATGAACTATTTCTTGGTACTATTCAGTGATAAAACTTCAAATTTTGCTGATGTCAGAGTGTAGCAAAATTACTGAATATAGTGTTTAAACAAGCAGCAGTGATTCACAGCTCAAAATTTACTATAAAGAACACACTCAGAAAACAGAAAAAGTGAATGTAGCAACATTTCTGAATTCAAATACTAGTTTGGCTGCATGTTGACTAATAGAGCCTGGGTCTTTACAGGTATACCCTACTACAATTCCCAAACAGCACTATATCCTAAACACTGCAGAAGATAATATACAAAAGTTCAAGTCCATCCATGATATGTAAACATGCTACAAAATTACCTTTTGAGCTTTTTCTTTATTTGACAACAACCTGCTTGAGTGAGTTTGCTCTGTTTACAAACGTGGATTATCCCAATAAAGCTTGGACTATTATCTTTCCTGCCCAAACAGACATCCAACTTGTTCTCCTTAAACCCTCTTCTTATGATAGACTTCATTTTCAGCTCAGGTATATATAATACTTTTAAAGATGCTTCAAGTTCTTTAACATGTATACCATGGCACTCGCTACTGGCTGAGCATATGCCTCAGTGGCACAGAGGAATACAACAGGGAGGAAGAATATATCCTTGAAAAACGTTTTCCAAATCTCCTTTTACCGAAGCATATTTTTCAAAGTTACCATAAGTAAAAGAATGTTGTAATGAGAGTTTGGCACTGCTGTTAATGGCATAAAGCATTTCTTCTGTAAAAACAAGGTACTATCCTACTGCTCACACACAGTCTCTCTGTCTCATCAGCATTAAATTCAGAACACTAGAATTCGTTTGCCATTTACAGTATTATTTTAAAGTGCTATATAGCAAAATTAAGAACAACGCTTCAGTTCAGAGTAACATTTGGAATCATTGAGATAGAGCGAGGCTGCACTGAGCAGCTCAGAAACAATAAAATGATTGTGGAAGTGGGAGTACTTTCCTTTTGTTGCTATTATAGTTAATTTGTCAGCTTCTTATTACTGCTATATAGGCATTTTGCCTTTTTGCATATAATGCAAAAGCAACTGTTCTGATATCAAAAGGCTGAACTGTTTTATAGGATTTGTGGCAAATTCCAAACACTTACTTCACAATGAAAAGCTTTCTACATGTAATGTTCCAGCTGGAATTATCGTTCTCTTTCCCTTCTCTCTTCTTCTTTTTAGAGCTGCATAAGAGAGAGCACCCGTGGAGCCAGTGGAACTAACATAATTTTGCTAGGCAATGACAGATTTGCTTAGAATTAGAGCGTTTGGCTGGGATCTTTTTTTGTTTCACAAACTGGTTTTCTTTTAAGATATCTGTACACAGGATTTCTTGAAGTGACTTAAACGTTACAGTATTCCTGCAGCTAGTAAAGTCCTTGAGGTAATATGAGCTGGTTTTGAAATCCTGTTTTCAATGAAATCACCCTGGTTCGATATTCATACAGTTCTTACAGAGATTAAATTCTGTAAGAACAGTGCTTTTACAGAAACAAGAGCATCTGAGACATCTGAGAAATAGGATTTCAGTTCCATACCATGTAAGATATTTAGTCCCAACAGAATGCATACAGTTCAATATATATAATATTTGGCTGTAAATTCCATGATAAAAGCCACTCTCCAACTGGCAGCACGGCTTAATTGTTTTCAAAATATAAACTCAGTTTTTACAAATAACTTTCATGCTTTTTTTGAAAAAAAAAAAGTTCTGAATAAAGATAGTGAGAGATCTTTGCTATAAAGAAATTAAAGGATTTTTCTAGAAAGGACTGATTTATATTTATATGGTTATATATTGATATGGATTTGCTTCAGAGTTATTTAAGAACTAACTATTAAAATTCAAGTAGTTCTTTACGGATCTCTGTTTGCAAATTATTCTTAAAAAAGAAGACTTGTTGATAAATCTGGTTCAGCGTAGTCAATTTTTTTGCTGTGGATCATTGTCCTCCTGAGATCTAAAATGTAAGATTAGTTACATCATACCTATTTCATCTAATGTAAACCAAACATCACTGAAGCATAGCAGACCTAGCTTTGCAGATTGCAAGTTCCCTTTTTTCAATTAGGAGTGGATTTTGAGAGGCCTGTTTCTCATCTGTCAAATTTCATTATATTAGAAAATGCAAAATATTGGCATGTTTTGTGTAGTGCCCTAATAGGCTTGTATAATTTCTCCTCCCCCATCAAAGCCAACCAAAACTATACCAGTAACATATTTTCCTTTCCTGAATTAATTCAGAGTCTTCAGGGATCATTGTGTTCAAAGGTTTGCACAAGAAAATGTCTTCTGGGAACTGTACTTGTTTGAAGTGGATTTAGTTAGTCTAATAAACCATATTGTGATACCACATTTTTACTGAATGAAACACAATGCTAGAAGTAATTGTACGTGCTTTTAAATGAAGCTATACGTAACAATGCACTCTCAACAGAATGTTTGTTTTCAGAACAATAGCATGTGGTTGTTGTGTTTAATTGCTTAAACATACTTTAATAACAAAATACTCTGCATTGCTCTGTGGAGGATCTGAATTCAGAACATTCAGCACATTCCTCCCATTGGTATCTGCAGTACCATTCTAAGCCAAAATACACACAAATCAGTTGGGTAAAATTTTCTTTGTGAGACATCACTAACTTGATAGTATTGGCCAAAGTAAAAGACCTTCAATCTGACCTGAAATGTATATCTGATATCTCAGATTCTTGGTGGAAAGGTTTCTAAGTGAACTAAATCTGGGTAGCAGTCGCTAATTCACAAAATAATAGTTAAATCACTTCAGAATCAGATAGAACATACTGACTGTCTTCAAAAAAAGCTGAAAATTCAGTCTCTCTTCAAATGAAGTGTTAGAATGCATGTAGTCTGATACCTGGGCTTTCAGATTCATGCTTTGCTCAAAGCATAATGCATAAACATTAATACAAACAGAGCAGCTTAGGAAATCTGAACAGAGCAGACACACAATGCTTGTTTTTCTCAGGCATTAGGAGACCATCATTTTCCTGAAAAATGCATTCTTCCCCCCCCCCCTTTTAAAGGCAAAGAAAACATTGCATGAATGAAAAAACAACAACAACAATAAAAAACCCCACCATAAAATCTTGTAAGCCAAATGCCACATATATTTTGAAATTGTTATGGAGTCAAAGCTATTTGTGTACAATTAGCAAGCCACACAATCTAATTGCAGGTTTAAAAAACCCTCATGCAGAATTTTAACTTTTAGAAGCTCTTGCCAGTGAAATTCCACCCTTCCTGTTTTCAGAAAGATAGTCCTAATTTTGTTTTCTAACTAAGTGAACTGCTGATTCAGCAGGCATCTCCAGCACCATCATTAATATCAGGTCATTTACATTTTCAGTTTCTGCCTGAAACTGAAAAAAAGGCAAAAAACATCAAGAAAGCTGAAAACTAATAAAAAACTATGTGTAAATAAACTCACCCCCATCCCGTACTGCTGAGCACTTTCCTGTTTGGACAGGAATTAAAAGTGTCACTTCTATTATATAAAGTATCATATTAAATAAAACAGCACTTACCTCCACTTAGTATAATGACAGCTATAAATATTGCCAGGTCACTGTCATCTAATTCCAGTGCATTGAACTTCACAGCAAACTCAAACTTGGGCTCCATAAAGTCACAAAAAGGTTTTCTCAGGCTCTTCAGAAACTCCCGTGTCATGAATCCTTGTCCATCAGATATAAGAACTCCATCTTTATTCATCAGAGAAGCCAGGAGAGTATATATGATCTCATGGACCCCATATTTCAGGAGAGTTACTTGATCATTCAGGTCAAGATTCACAAAACCTGGAATGTTCTTGGCAAATTCTGTAATCTCCTGCACTGCCTCCACAGAACGAAACTGACATCGCTGGAAAATGCGAATTGCTACCTCTTTGTTCTCCTCCTGCAGCGGTGACACGTGCTTGCACTTGATCTGATCTTCTCCCATCATTAAAGAGTTCATGTCATAAATAACAAATGGCTAAAAATAAAAGGAAAAGACAATTTACTTTCAAACGTCCTTTCTATGAACATTTGACTCCTGAGAAACTGAAGTAGCATACAGAGGTATAACTCATCAGAAAACACTTAGAAATCTGAGGAATGTATCAAGGGTAGTTGACCCAAAAGGGTTAAATCTTCATAAACCTATTAAAGCAAATAGCCTCACAATGTTAAAATGATTTACAGAAAGGACAAGTAGTTCCTGAGGACTTCTCACATGTTCCGTGAATCCACATTCTGAAAATAGGACTTTGGCTGATACTTTTTTTAATAATTAGGGGATGGGGGTAAGAACAGTATTTTAAAATATCCATGAATTTTGCCTTTTTTTGTTTTTGTTTTGTTTTTGTTGTTGTTTTACAGAAGTTCTGTAATACCAGAATTCAAAGTTTGGAATGCTTATTAATAAAAGATTAAAATGTTACTCTTTTTACCTGAATTTTACTGGCTTCTATAAAACGGAATCTAGTAAGTGTACAGTGACATGTTTGCACTTCTGCTGATACAACTTCTTTTTTGTGGAAAGACAGAGGTATATCCACATTTTGATTATTTCACATACTGGCATGTTCTTTTCAAGTTCTATCCTTCTCGAAAGTGCTGCAAGTAGTATCAACTTTATGGTATCAATTATCTGATAAATTTAACCTTTTGCTGTTAATTCCTTTAAAAATAACAAAGTTAGGATGTATTTAAACTCAAACAACTTGTCAATGGGAAAGAAAACACAAATAACATGATACAAACTACAGCAGCAAAATTCAGAACACAAGAGTGAGTCTGTGAAATAAACTCAACTGGAATAAATCAATTTCGAAAGCAGATTAGAAAAAGTAGTGCCAGGAAAACTTTCGTTAGGATCTGGAAACAATCTGTTTCAGAAAATGCAGAAGCAGCTCCTGGTTTTAAAGTGGTTAAGTGAGGATTTCTTGAATTTATCTGAATAATCTTTTCCTTAGAGGATAAATGACTAAACAGTTCATTGCTGCACTGAACAAATATCTACTGATATTAATAGGTTTGTTAACACACTTGATTAATTAATTAAAATACAAGGAATTATACACCAACAATTGGACTAGAGAAATGCATTTTTTAATTTAAGATCCTTTATGATTACAGATTCTAATGCCTTATTAATATGGGTGCTCATTCTTGTGATTTTATATTCACTGTAAGCTGCAGAACAGCTTCAAAAATAACCCAAGCCTTCCCATACATAGTCAGCAGTCCTCTCCCACAGAACCAGCTTCTGGAAACTCCTAAAATTCTATTCCTATTTGTTTAAACCAGTTTTGAAGTCTATTCAGTGCTACATTATTATGGAATTTTTAAAACTGGGAATAGCTACTTTCTTTAGAGTCTGGTGGTGCCTTCTGAAGATGATACTGCCCACAGATGTTTATCGCTACCCACCAGCTAGAGGTTACTACTCCCATCTCCCATAGTTCCGCAGATGGAGATTGTGTTTGGTCATCTGTTTCAGGCTAAGTCGAACACGAAGCTCCGACCTGCTATCCCTAGGAAGAGAGGGCGGGATGACAGCTGACAGCTTTGTCTTTAACTGATACAGCTGCTCGGAAAGCAGAGGTCTATCTGTGAACTGAAATAATAGTATCTGCACAAGAGGATTTCAGCTTTCAAAATGGTTTAGTTAAACCAATATTCTGCTGCTTACAAGACCAGTGGAACTAGTGCTGTCACTTTCACGGTAACCACAGGCAAACATAGCTCCAGACCATGAGATTCAGTTAAATAGAGTGTGAGGTATGACACTATTTTTCCACTTGCACTAGGATTTCAGTGTGAAGCTGAAAAAATAAACACATCGCACTGAGAAAAGCCAGGAGGATAAGGTATTTTTCAAGATGTAACGCTATTTTGGCAGCAGGAAGAACATTTTATACATATCTGTACATATATATATATGCATGCATATGCACAACAGTGGAATAACAAGACTATAGAGGAGGCTTTTAAAATGCACGTTTTAGTACCAGTAGGTCATTCCTTTCTTTTCTTTCTAGAAAATCTCAAGTGGGAACACCAAGTACAAGAAAAAGTAATCTATTCTGTGCATGTACATGTATGTGCTTTTAGAAAGACTATGCTATGCCACCAGCTTACTGACATTAGAAGATAAAAATCACGAAAGAATTCAAAATAGCTAAAGAAATTTTTAACATAAAGATTCAGATGAACTTTGTGAGTAGAACCTTATGTCAAATGAGCACTGTATGTCCCACAAGAGGATAAGCTGTCATTTTAGTTTTGACACACTCACTTAGCATATCCAATAATTTTCCGTGAATGCAGATGATATAGCAATTAAAAAATAACATAAACTATGCCCATAGTAAACAGCTTGATGATCCAGAGTACAAAGTCCATTACAGTTCAAATAACATAAAAGTTGTAACCATTCAATACTGAGTGTCACTCTTTCAGTGTTATTTTCTTAAAAAGACTTGAAAATTCACAGCAATGGAAAAGCTGAATTCTGTGTCTATTGTTTTATTGCTATATTCTAATCTGGCAAAGTTTTAAAACTTTCAATAAAAAGGCAGAATGTCATTGATGGCATACTATATGCTTACTGAAACTTTCAATAAAAAGGCATAATGTCATTGATGGCATACTATATGCTTACTGCATGAGTATTGCATTAGTGTAACTTTCAGATGTGACCAAGTTACATAAGCCCAGACATTTGTTAAGTGCCCGGCACAGCAGAGCAGCAAACCACACGCCAACTTCATAGAACCTTACAGAATAAAAGTAGGATTTGTGGACGCACTTGGGACCTCAGAAATAAACTTCCCAGATTTCTAAACACGCGTCTGGAAAAACGGAAGATGAGAGCACTGTAGGTAACCCTGCCCAAACTTCTGTTACGTTCCAGAGTGTGCACAGTGGGCAGCTGCAGAAAAAAGGAGCAGGCCTGCTGGTGACATTTTTAGGATGAAGAGGTATAAACAAGATACATAATTACGCAGCCCACTTCTATTCTGTTTCCCAATGCAGGTACATAGTTACTAAGAACACACTCACAAAAAGACTAAATTGCTGTATTAATTCTTTCCCAGTAACCTATGTTTCTGATATAGAGAGGGAACTGCAGAAAGACTTGGAAAAAGCAATGTCCCTCAGGTGGACTTAGCGTATCAGCTTTCTGCAGAATAAACAAACTGTGCTAGTTTAAACTTTATGTACTCCATGATGAAAAGTTACTCAAATTGTAAGTGTCCACCGTACCTGAAGTTTTTATGTGAGGGGTACAACCAAATTTTGGACAATATTTAAATTATGATTTTAACTGCCTTTAAAGAAAGCAAGCCTAAAACCCCTCCAAATTCGTTCCTGTCTTTGAAATTATTAAAGAAAATAAAATACAGTCTCTGTTATGATCCTGACAATACAATTCCTGCCGATCATTCTAGAAAATATATCAAATTAAGAGTTTTTAGTTTTGGAAACCTATTTTGCTCTTTAGGTATTAAAGTAGTGACAAAATTTAAAACCTACCATAATTATTGGATCTTATTTATCCTCCTTCTCACTGATACAGAAGGTTGTTATGTATTGCCAGTGAAGTTTTCAAAGCAACCCACAAATACACATATCTCTATTCCTTACTTTTAAAAGCTTGTCTTGCACATTCTCCTAAAATTCAAATTGCACCAACAGAGGATACTGATCTGATCGAAGATAAAGCAGTTAAATGCAGGAAGTAGTCGGAGCATCATAAGAATAAGCATCATAGTTAAGGCTAGTGATGGTGTTGGTACTGGGAATCATTTGACACTTACGAAAAAGAATATTCCTTGGGGTACAGCTAGTGCTGATAATATGCTACGATAATGTGCTATGATACGGATGCTTGAATAGTATAGCAACCAATTCCTGACAGCTAGATAGCCACCTTAAACAGATAGTGTGGAAGATAACCTTTGGTGAAGGAGAAGGAAAATGGGAAGAGTGGATCAGAGAATACAAAAAGGTTAAGATGACCTTCAAATTCTTGTACTGGTTTCAAGCATTTTATTAGGTGAACTTGGAGTTTTTTCAAATGATGTTTACTTATCCTATCTAAAAACATTTCCTGTGTTTCAGACACAGCTTGAAATATGTAACTGCCAACATCAATTTTTTTTTAATTTTTTTTAAAAGATGTGTTGTCAATGTGGTAAATCATTTACTCAAAAGAAAGAAAAAAAAAAAAACCAGAGGGAACTAACTGATTTGTCTGTCGTCTTTCCTGTCAAGATCGCCCTCGCCTTGGCTTTTGTCAGAGGGAAGGACTTTATGTATGAGTCATACAAATGCTTGGCAAGTGCTCGTAGATCAGCAGATTCAGGGTTTAACTGGTCGATGTCGCTGGAAATCTCTGCCAAGAGCTTCTCCTTCTCCGCTTGTGGCATTCGCCCAAACCTGATGGCTGAAGAAGATGACAAGCAATTACTATAGCTATAGTTGCACCTGAAAAAGCATATTTGAATAGCTTTTTATGGCACCTTTTGTAATGAGCTCTTCAATTTTTTATTAAAACAGTACTTAGGCAAGTAAGAGAAAGATTATTTTCTCCAGTAACATAGGTAAAACAGCTGAAGCGCTTTGAAATGTAAACAAACAAATCTCTAAGAGGAAATAATTTATGTTCCCAAACAGTAAGATTACAATATCTTGCTTGGAAATGCAAAACTGTTGTCAGCTCACCTGACAGAGTTGGTGAAAACCACTGATTCTACCTCCAATCTAAATAGAAAATGAATGCAAAGAATCTTTAAGATATTAAAATTCTGTTGGCTTAGGGTAGGAACCACCATTCAGCCTTGTATTGTTTTGGGCGAATCACCATATGGATCTCAGATTCTTCATTTGTTTAGAAACAAAACACTCACATGCCTTGCAGGAATAAATTCCTAAATGGTTCAACAGAACTTAAGGTAGCAATTGCTATAAAATGTTACCAAAAGAATTAAGGAATGAGAAAGAAGGTTGTGCAGGGAATAAAAAAGCCAGAAAATGCTGAGTTCTTCATGGTAACTCTATGCGCATGCAGTATTGAAAGAACAGGAAATGATTCTACCTAGTCATATGATCTCACAACTGCTCCATACCAACGTAAGGCAGGCTGTAAACCTCCTACTTTTACACCTATGTACTTACTATCCAAGACACTATTTATTCGTATGGGGACTGACTTGGAAAATATTTCAAATGAGCCATCAAGATCAAGACTGATTTATCATATGGTATTTCAATAAACAGAATTTATTTTATTTTACAAAACCAAAACAGAACAAAAGAGCATCAAAACAAAAAACTGAAGGAAGAAATAAAGGTTTGCATTTTGGCCTTAGGAGGAAATAGAAATATTATAAATATTTTTTCAGCGGTTAGTGTCTTCCCTGGATAAAGTAAAAGTGCTGTTAAGATCATACATATGAATGATTATACTAGGGACGTTTATTTTGGAAACAACCAGCCACCTCCCCTTTATGAGGGTGCTTGCACTGTGCTGATGGACAAAAATGACACTTTTTTTCAAGAATAAATAATTGTGTCAAAAACATATAAACCCCATTTGTCATATATTATATTTATTGATTCTTATTTCACGGCTGTAGAAACAAGGTTGGTTATTTTTACAACTGTACTACATTTCTCTTTCAGCAAACTTAGTCTCCGAATGATGCATGCTGTATATTTCATATTTGCTTGGGCATTCTTAGAGTTAACGTGTCAGAATAAAAATCATCATGAAAGGACACCTAGATCTGTAGGTACAAATTAACATATTTATTTTTTTTCCCCTGAAAATGTCTGTTGCTTATAATTTTTCATACAGGAAATTTTGAATAATTGCCAACTGATACTTGTTGTGGATCATATATACCATGCCTTTTTTTTTTTTCTTCTTTCTCATGGGGAACACTACGTATTCTTAATCAGCTACTAACAGTTTTCAGGGAGACATCACTGCCAGCCCTCCTTATTTCTGGGAGCAAAACATTTAAAGAAAAATTACTAGCTTCATATTAGTTTATATGACATGCTACAATGGCTCAAAGAGACTGACACCTTCTATAAAGAGGTAACGTGAATGGATGAACATATGGTAATGTCAGTGATGTATAAAAAATTGATATAAAACAAAAGGAGAGTTCGTATTTGTACTTAGTGTAACCTAAATAAAAAGATGAAAAAATTCAGCATAACTACAAAGGAATTAATTCAGCTACATAAGCTTCCATGAACACTGTGAATCAAGACCATTTTGATATTTTCATTTTGCAGTTAAAATGGATTCTCTCATTGGATTCTCACTACAAATTCTTATTTGTAGTTACCACAAATCCTGTGAATTTTTTTTTAAAAACTTGCATGGATGTTGATAATATTAAACCCATGATACTAATATCTGCATTTTAGACATTCTTGAAGATGTAAAATAAATGAAGTATGAAGTATTTAATGAAGTAAATACAGTGAAAACTCACTGAGAATATCTTATAGCATTTACAGATTTTTTTTTTTGATACCTAAGGACTGATTCAATAAAAAGAATCAAACTGTCATCAACATAATAAAGCTAAAATATATTATTACATATGTATTGTAAGAAGTTGTTACAGGGGCAGCAAGATAACTAAAATGTAGGGTCAAGAAGGCGTTAAAATAATAACATAGCTAATAAAAGTGTTAAAGGTTAATTAGAAGTCCATGTGGCTAGATGTTTGTTAAATTCATACTTTCATTAAAAGCTATTACGCTCTATACTAAACCTGGTTTCAGATTTAATGTTAATTTAATATTAAATTTGTGACATTCATAGGACTATGTTTTATGATTAACTTGTCCACTTTTCAAATGTGCATTTTGCAATAGCTTTATCAATAGAAAAAATCTTGTGATACTTTGATGCTTCTGATTGGGTTCTTGCCAACAAAGTCAACTCTTCCTCACCATCTTTTTTTGAGGAAGAATTTGCAAACTGAAGACAGAAGTGAATTCTAGCCAGACTTCTCAGACTACTACAGTGGACCTTTTAATCTGGAAAGAAAGCAAGGCAAATATTAGCCTCATATGAAGGACTGTTAATAAAAAAGGGAGATCAGAGTTGCCCATGTCTATAAAATGTTGATCGCTTCCAGAAATATATGGAGTGCAAAAAAAGATGACCTGAAGACTTCTTAACACATAGTAAGAGATACTTAGGAACGCTAAGGAACGTGTCCTTTGAGAGATTTCGCAATCGTATCAGGAACTAGGTGCTTTGGACCAGAAAAATGTTTTATTATGATAAATCCTACTTGTAAATAATTTTGATATTTTATATGGAATACATTTATAACATTATATATAATATCTTTATAATATGTTTACAATAAATTATGCATCCCTAACAGCCTGATGTGAATTCTGTAAGCTCATTCTGTAAGTATACTAACTCTAAGTATTACGGAAACGGAGCTTGGCTGAACAGCAGTATGAAACATGATTCTTTTGTGCTATTCTTGATGAGAGGGGTTTTGCAGAAGCAATTTTCTAATCTAGAATGTCACTGGCATAAGACTCCCTTTCATCAAGGTTATTTTTACAAACAAGGGATTAAAAAAAAA